CCTGCGCGTTTATGGCCGGAGCGCCAGACGACTCAGGGGGCCGAGCGTTGGTTCGATCGTGTTTTGGCGCAGTGTGGCCTGGAGGGCCTTCGTTCCGTCCACACCCTTTATAGTNTGCGGCGGGGTGGTGCCTCGGCCGCCCGTGCGGCGGGAGTGCCACTGGATATCATCGAAGCATTTGGTGGCTGGGCCGCAGGCTCGTCGGCGTTGCGGGAGAACTACCTCGATTTGGGGGTCCGTGGCTGCCCTCGTGCGGTCGCCTTCTTTGGCCCTCTCGCGGCCCGGCGTGTCGCGCCGGTGATGGGTCAGTACTTTAACCGCTGAGAGGGGGTGTCTTTCCTTTTGGCAATAGACTCGTAGCAGGAGCTAATGCGGGCTATGCGAAGCTTGAGCCGGGTTAGCTAAGGCGTAGGGCCTTACGGCCGTTTTAAGTGGTACGACTTGAGGCCGGCGATCCGTGTCCTCAGGATCGTCTTTTGCATAAATAGCGCGTGTTGCAGGTTTTCTGTATCTTGTTTTTGTTGTTCAGCACGCGCCCCGCCCTCCCACCCTGGAGGCCGCGTCGCCCGCCCTTTTCGCTCTACTACATTATTTCTTTTCCTTTTGGTTCGGTGCGGCCTTTTCATCGATCAGGCCGTAAGAGCACAGCCAATATCTGTAACAGAAATGGCAATGGCAATAGACTCGTAGCAGGAGCTAATTCCAAAATTTGGATCCATTGCAAGCTGGGATAAGAAGTGCCGTACCTACCAATCAACGAACATGTCCTTCTGACTTATAAAGGATTATCACATTCATTTTGTCACATCCAAGATAGCCAGAAGAAGCGTAGACAATCTTCTCCTGCAGCCATGGCGAGGCGCGCTTTAAGGCCCCGCCTTGCACGTCTGCTTCTGTGCCTTGCGATGTCATGGTAGGTTTTTTTGTAACCATTGATTTGGTGTATCAATACGTTGGGCTGCCTGATTTGTGGTGCTCTTGACCTTGGCTTAGAGACAGCCATTGACTGAGTCAGTAAATCGGATCGAACCCTGGCAAAACGCAGGATGACAACAGCAGTTGCTGATACTTCACTTGAGGAACAGCTGGATTCTCAGGCGACAGTCGACCCTAGATTCCCCTACTGCTCCTGCTATCGCCTTCCTGCCAATCCATCGCCATACAACTTCGCCCCAACTGTGACTGTGAAAGGCAAAGGCCAGTACTGCTTCAAGATTCTTGTCAATAGCACAGGTTGCACTGGACGATGCTGCAATGTCGACTTGAACAAAATTGAGGTGCGGTTGGTTTGCTGCGGAAACGACCAACTGCGCTTAGGCGAAGTCGGAGTCCCATGGAAATCCATGCTGCGCTAACATAACATCAGCATGTATAAATATGTTATGCGATCATTTAACCCGGTCAACCGAATACGTTTTTTACCCGGCCCTTAGTACATTTTGTCCCTCCCTTTGGTCGAGGAGTTAACATCTTTTTCTTCCCTTTTCGCGTCATCTCGCCTGTCTCCCAACAGTTTGATGTCAACGCCAAGTGCCTGGCCAAGTCTGCGTCAGTCAAGGCAACCATTAATGGAAAGTTCACCCTCGTCGGCCCTAATTACTACACCTACCAATTGGACAACGGCACCTACAGATACGTGCTCCGGCTCACCAGCCTGACTATGGGTTTATCGGACAACAACGCTGAGCTCTGCCTCAACCTCACGGCTGGTGTGAACGACGCCGGCTGCGGTACTCTGGAAGAGCTCTGTGTGCCGCCGTCAGTCAGCTCTCCTCCAGGGACATGCCAAGTAGCCCTGTTGAATAGCCTCAACAGCACCGACACATGCTGCCCTATCCGCTATGTGAGCACCCCCAAGCCTCCGCCATCCCCTCGACCACCTTCCCCACGTCCACCATCTCCGTTTCCGCCATCTCCACTTCCACCATCCCCTTCGCCGCTGCCCTCTCCCCCTTCTCCGCCATCGCCTTCGCCTCCCCTTCCGTCGCCATCGCCTTCGCCTCCCCCTCCGCCACCATCTCCTCCGCCTCCGCCTCCACCTCCACCTCCGCCGCCATCTCCGCCGCCTTCCCCCCTTCCGCCATCTCCTCCGCCGCCTCCCCCTCCCCCTCCACCGCTATC